TGTCCCGCCTCTGCTGACGGTCGTGTAATATTTCAATGTGATTCTGATCTTTAAAAATGTTGTTTTTGCATAATGTAGTATTACTGGTACTTAATTCATAGGTTAGAGTAAACAAAAAGCTGAGTCATTCATAAGCAAGAGTAAACAGACACAGCTAATTCATCCATGCGTCAGAGTAAACAAACACAGCTGATTTATTCATAGGCTAGAGTAAAGAAACACAGCTAATTCATTCATAAGCAAGAGTAAACAAACAGCTGATTCATTCATAAGCAAGAGTAAACAAAAACAGCTGATTCATTCATAAGCAAGAGTAAACAAACAGCTGATTCATTCATAAGCAAGAGTAAACAAACACAGCTAATTCATCCATGCGTCAGAGTAAACAAACACAGCTGATTAAATTATGCGTCAGAGTAAACAAACACAGCTGATTCATTCATAGGTTAGAGTAAACAAACAGTTGATTCATTCGCAAGCAGGAGTAAACAAACACAGCTGATTCATTCATAAGTCAGAGTAAACACCAAGAAATCCTCGAACGAAATGGAATTGAAAAGAGACAATAATTTTTCAGGATATAAAAAGATCTGATAAAACTAACGATAAGAATATAAATAAAAAAAGGTATATAAAGATCTCGAAATATATTGTTAGATGGCGTAGTAAAAACACACACACACACACACATACATACACACACACACACGCACACACACATTGACACAGATAAAAATTCATCCACACATACGCACACAAGATAAAATTCCTTATACACAGACGAAAATATTGCCAAGAAAAAAATACAGTGACGTTTATTTCATTACAATTGACGACATGTTATAGCAATTCGTTGTTTTAGGCATATTTAACCTTTTAACAGACAAAGCTATGGATAATAATGCAATAATTGGCCCATTTGCATACCACTGGTTTTAGGGTTATGTAACGAGGAAGATTATGAGAAAAGATTTTGGGGGATGGGGGAGGAGGATGGGGGATGGGTGAGGTGGGGGTATGGGGGGGAATGGGGGAGAATGAAGGAGGAGAAAGAAAACAGACCCCGAAAAGGGCATTAATAACAGAGGTAAGATGAAGAAAAAGACGAAATATTTTTACTTCATTAAACTATATCATTATCATCAACTACCACAACCACCACTATTACCACCACCATTACCATTATAACTACCACCAACAACACCACTACTACCACCACCTCTACTACTAATAATAATAATACAAGCACTAACACCACTACTACTGAATAAAAACTACAACCACAACCACCACCAACACCACTACCACTAATTATGGTTGCCCCTCGTGTATCGAAGATGGCCGGCCCAAGGGCGTGAATTTGTTTAAGGTGTAGAAGCTGTCGCCAACACAATAACCACACCCTAAGTTAACGAGTTATATGAACCAGTGTTAAAGAATATGCCGAGAAGATCGGACAACTCGCCAACTGCACTGGCTAACCTTTACCCCAGAACACGATCCTCAAATCGATTAACATCCAGGTCCCCAATTACTGCTGGGTAGACGAGGCAAATGCCCATAGTTTCACCCTGCCCACACCACCACCAACAACCCTATTACAACCACCACTACCACCACCAACATAGCTACTACTACCACCACAACTACCATCACCACTACAACTACCACCATCAATAACACTACTACTACTACTACTACCACCTCTACTACAACTACTACTACAAACACTAGCACCACTACTACAACTACCACTACTACTATCACTACCACTACAACTACCACCATCAATAACACCACCCCCTCCACTGGCCTCCACCTTCCAACAAAGATGAGGAGAATGACAGCTTCAACCCTCAGCCTCTGGTGTGTCTTAAGCATGGGACACACGTTGGACATCGTGCTTACGTGTGCAGTGTCCCCCCTGCCACTGTACTAAAACACTATACCCACGTGTCCACTTCTCTACCTACGTGTCCACTTCTCTACCCACGTCTCCACTTCTCTACCCACGTCTCCACTTCTCTACCCACGTCTCCACTTCTCTACCCACGTGTCCACTTCTCTACCCACGTGTCCACTTCTCTACCTACGTGTCCATTCCTCTACCTACGTGTCCACTTCTCTACCCACTTCTCTACCTACGTGTCCATTCCTCTACCTACGTGTCCACTTCTCTACCCACGTCTCCACTTCTCTACCCACGTGTCCACTCTCTTACCATGTATGCAACGTGTCCAGTACTACTTCACCTTTCCCGTGTCGTGCCCCAGGCTGGCACATCTTAAATCAAGGTGCACAGAGCTCGGAGTGACGTGGCAGAAACACCGAGCCAGAGAGACAGCTGAAGCCGCAGCAGAGAGAGAGAGACAGCTGCAGACAGACACAGAGACAGCTGAAGATGCAGAGAGACAGCTGAAGCTGCAGAGAGAGAGAAAGAGAGACAGCTGCAGATAGACACAGAGACAGCTGAAGATGCAGAGAGAGAGAGACAGACAGACAGCTGCAGACAGACAGAGAGACAGCTGCAGACAGACAGATACAGAGACAGCTGAAGCTGCAGAGAGAGACAGACAGACAGCTGCAGACAGACAGAGAGACAGCTGCAGACAGACAGATACAGAGACAGCTGAAGATGCAGAGAGACAGCTGAAGCTGCAGACAGACAGACAGACAGCTGCAGACAGACAGATAAAGAGACAGCTGAAGCTGAAGAGAGAAAGAGAGACAGCTGCAGACAGACACAGTGACAAATGAAGATGCAGAGAGAGACAGCTGCAGACAGATACAGGGACAGCTGAAGATGAAGAGAGAGACAGCTGCAGAGACTCAGAACGACAGCTGCAGACGCACAGAGACACAGAGACAGCTGCATAGAGACGTAGAGACACACAGCTGCTGACAGACACAGAAAGACAGCTGTAGAGCGACACAGACAGAGTTGCTGAGAGAGAGAGAGAGAGAGCCATGGTAAACGTCACTGTCTCACGGCTAAACTTACTCAAGGTGTCTACGTTCGCTTAGCTTAAAGACCCATTGAAAACTCTCTCTCTCTCTCTCTCTCTCTCTCTCTCTCTCTCTCTCTCTCTCTCCTCGAGGTATACACACATCGCCTGACACTTTATTGAGCTGTGTGTGATTCAATAATTAAATGAGCAAGTTAAGCCAACCTCATAATCACTATGAATACACAAGTAAACTGTGTGTGTGTGTGTGAGAGAGAGAGAGAGAGAGAGAGAGAGAGAGAGAGAGAGAAACACGCCAACTTACACTCGCCAAACACACGGAGGAGGAAGACTAACACACTTGCAGAATCTCAATAAAATTACGCAGGTGTGGTTGTCCTGTGTTAATTAGCGCCTCCAGGTGTGTGTGTGTGTGTGTGTGTTGCGGGGATACATAAGAGTATTTGTACCTGTATAGTTGAAATAATTCTTCTAAATAATGGTGTTTGTCAATTGATTTTTTTTTTTTGGAGGGATCACCTGAAAATTAAACACCCTAGCTTATTTCACCTGAATGTTAACCATCCTAACGATACCTAGGGAGGTTAAGGTATATAAGGGAAGATTAGGTTAGGGTGGGTTAGGTTAGGTTAGGTTAGGTTAGGTTAGGGTGGATTAGGTTAGGTTAGGTTAGGGTGGATTAGGTTAGGTTAGGTTAGGGTGGATTAGGTTAGGTAAGGATACTGTTAGTGTTAGTTTGGGTTCGATTACACTAATACCAGTGTTAAGTTAGATAAGGTTAATATTAGCGTTAGGGTGGTTAATCATCAGGTGAAATAAGCTGGAGTGTCTAATCTTCAGGTGGTGTAATTCTTGTTCTGTCGGTGTAGGGTTCATGGCCGGCATCTCTGAGACAATGTCACCTGTCAATGAACTTTTAATTAACTTCGGATCACCTGAAGAATCGCCACCCCAGTTTATTTCACCAAAAGTTAACCACCCTGACACTGTTTGGGGGGGGATGAGGTTAGGTTAGGTTAGGTTAGGTTAGGGTAGGTTAGGTTAGGGTAGGTTAGGTTAGGGTAGTTAATCTTGAGGTAAAATAAGCTGAGGTGGAGGTTCTTCAGGTGATCCATAAACTCTACTGATACTTCATGAATCTGATTCGGACTGTTGATTCTGAACTCGAGTTGTGGTGTCATGGCCGTGTGTAAGTGCTATGTCATGGCGTCCACCTGCTTCACTTGAGTGGTCTAATGAACACCAAACTCTATTAGAATGATTTGATGCAACTTCTTGACATTAACCAAGTGAAGTAAATGAACAAAGCAGTATTTCAAAATGTCGTTGAATATTTTGTGGGTTTGTACTTTTATCTGTATAAAAACGAATAAAAGAAAACAAAGCAATAAATAAAAAAATATAGGACGTATGGAGAGAAAGGTTTATTTCACTCGTTTCAAAACTTAATCGAAAATGGTTTAGTGTCAAACAACGCGACAATGAAAATGTGTAATGTCTTCTTCGATTACAGAAGAAAAATGCGCTGTACAGTCTCGTGGAAAAAAAATATCACTGCATAGTTGCATCATTACTATTAAAATCACAACGTTGGACCTCCCCCCTCCCCACACTTATCTATCATTATCACTAGAAATACAACCCCACAATCCTTACCTGAAGACAGCGACCGTCAGGGTATCGCACGCAACACAACAGCTCCACAAAAACACTATCTGCCCCTCATCTCGAGCGGTCCGCGGTATTAAACTATTGGCAACATCACCATTCTTAACTAAATTTCCTGATTATCGCAACCTGCCGGGCAGGAGGGATCACGACGATAAAATTCCCTTGTTTACAGCACGCAGGGAATTTGTGTATATCTGCATTCCTCAGGGCGCCAGAGTCGAGTGTTCGCCCTCCGGTAAGACAAGAGAGGAAGACAACGTCAGGAGACGATCAAATCACTGTTTACATAAGCACGGAGTATATGTGAGTGTGTGTTCTTAATGCCTCGAGATGTTGCTTACTAAAGTGCTGATCTTACAGTACCTTGAAGGAGACAGAGCGTCCTCCAGAGCGGCAGCGAAGGAGTGATATGGATGACTACCACCCAGGCACCAGAGGCAGGTGGTGGGTGGACTGGTGGTAAGCAGCAGCAGGAACCACCACCTGCCTGTCTGCCCAGCTGCCTCCTGGACGATCACTCTGTTGCGCATCGCCCCTCTCAGTCAAGGCGACACGGCACGAGGCACTAGGCGAACGCTCTATTATGGCCAGATCCCACGAGAGGGTCAAAACCCTCTAGGTTGGGTATAATGCATAGTCGTACCTTCAAACCAAAACAACGACACATTCTTAACCTGGAAGGTGCCACCAACCAGACCCGGAGAGGAGTGGTCGTTGTTCCCGCGTAGATACTGCTGCTGTAGAGGTATATAGGAGGGTAAGAACAACCGTAGTAGAGGAGTCAAAGGAATGGGTCACTAACCGTGGAAATGTACGGCCGTGCTACTGCACCACACCGTCCCGGCCCGCGTCCCAAGTTACACTGTGGGCCACGCTCACCCACACATACACTCCGGGAAATCAGCAACCAGCTGCCCGCCCCGGGGCCTCCTCTGGCCTGCCCCTTATCCTCACCTTCACCTATTCTCTCCTGTGCTTACCCTTAGACCCTGATCTTAGCTTCACCTGTTCTCTCCTTGGGTTGACTCTCACCTGAGCTTGTGTCTGCTGCTTTCACCTCCGTCCGTTCTCTCAAAAGAGTCAACAACCTTCTACTGCCCTCACCTTCACCTGCTATCTGCTGGACACAGACACACACACCCATGTCCTTACTCTCCCGTGCCACCTGCCTCTCATTACTCTCCCGTGCCACCTGCCTCTCATTACTCTCGTCTCCACTTGCCCTGCCTCACACCCTACCTTACCCTACCCCACACCGTACCTTACCCTTGCCCACACCCTATCTTACCCTACCCCACACCCTACCCTACCTTACCCTATCCTACCCCACAATCTACCTTGCCCTACTCCATACCATCATTACCTTACCTTCCTGTGGTCATTTCTTCCACCTGCCCCAGTGTTATCTTACCCTACGCGCCCAACCCTACCTTTGCGTACCCAACCGTCCCCACCCTGCTGCGTATCCCTTCCATTACACCTGCCCCTGCCACAGCACCTCTTCCTCCCTTCCTCAGTATGCACGACCATACCTTAGCTGCCCGTCCTGCCTTGCCTCATCCTCTCTTTACCTTGTTTTACCTCTTCTCCCCTCTCTACCCACCTCCCTCCTTTTAATATCCCTCCCATCTTTCTACCTCTCCTCTCTACCTCCCTTCCCTCTCTCTCTTCTCCTTTCCATCTTTTCTACTCCTCCCCTCCTTTTTCCTTCCTCTGCTCCAGTCATTTACACTTCAACTCTAAATGCCTCTTACTCTCCTCCGGCCATTTCTGTCTCATTCTCTTGTTGATGTTTTTTTCCCATTATCTCTCCATCTCTTTTTATTTATATTTCTACAATTCTTCCCCTCGATCTATTTATATCTTCTTATCTCTCCACGTCTCCTCGCTTCTTCTTTATCTCTCCTTTCTTGTCTCTCCGTGTCTCCTTCACTGTCCTCTCTTGCACAATCTTTACAGCTCTTCTTGTCCACGTTTCTTCCTCAGTTTCTTCTCACCTCTTATATCCTTCTTTTTTTTATTTTCATTATTTTTTCGTCCCATTTTATTTATTTTGGGGTCTCATTTCCCCATTATCTTTCCTGTCGCCATTTTCACGCATGTTTTTTTTTGTCATATCCTTAAGTCTTTGTTGCTATGAGTTAAAGTCTATTGCCCTTTCCTCAACTCTCTATTGCTATGTACTGAAGTGTTGCTATATCCTTCAGTTTCTGTTGCCATATCCTAAAGTCTCTGTTGCCATATCTCCCAGAATGTTGTTATTTCCTGAAGTATCTGTTACCATGTGCTAAAGTGTCAGTTGTCATGCGATAAAGAGTCTAGTGCCATGTTCTAAAGAGTTTGTTTATTGCCATATGTGTTACAGCTATTTCATCTAAATCTATGGGAGAATTTTTTTTAGCCATGAGGTGCTGTTATTCCTGTTATTATTTCAGTTATTGTCGTTATTTCCGTTATTTTTTCGTTATTATAGTCATACAAATTAACATTGTCTCTACAGGTACAGTAGACAAGTACCGGTAAACAGTAAGTCGATTAAGATGACCTGAAGATTAGCCATTCCAGCTTGTTTCACTTGAACATTAACCATCCTAATGACTGCTGGGGTTAGGGTAGGATAGATTAACTTAGGTTATATTTGGTAAGTGTAAATTAAGCTAATGTTAGATTAAGTTAGTGTAGATTTGGTTAATGTTAGTGTTAGTTTAGGTTAAGTTAGGTTAGGTAAGGTTAATGTTGACGTTAGGATGGTTTATCTGCAGGCGAAATAAGCTGGGGTGTTTAATCTTCAGTTGATCCAAAGCTTTAAATGGTCTTTTTCTGTTTTTAAGATTTTTTAGATTATAATAACAGACGGGGGGAGTATCTTAAGGATGTAGTTCTGCACGCGGTCCTCGGCCAAGCTCCACTCACAGGAAAGATATGATTCCCTCAGCAAAAACTTGTTTGGCAGCACTTGGTCGCATGCCTGCCTCGTTCTCCAGATAGTTGCCACCGTAGAGGTGAGTATATATTTTGTCTATACACGCCAGATAATATCCCAAATAGCATAAGTTGTAATGTTCTTTCGTGTATATAGTCCGTGATAGTGAAGTTCAATAATACAGTTGTGGAGAATCAATGGAGTAAATTCGGAGATATATTAAAGAATCTAGAAGTTACTGGAATCATGAGAAGCGTGCCTCAGCGACCAATCACGTGCTGTTCTTTAGACCGGAGCAGCAGACCGTAAGATTAATGTTCCCGGGTTTTAGGAGCCGATTGCTGTAAGGAAGGTATTTCTTTTATCAGAGGAACAGATTTGGGTGGTTCATTGTGTCGAGTGATGAAGAAACAAACCGAATTAATACATCAACGAAAAGTAGTGAAAATCAAGGGATTTGGTTGAGATCTTATATGAGAAAGAAGGAACATCATCCCTCCAGACTGCATAACTTTTGAAGATAAGAAGTTATCTGGGCACACGCTTGTCGTGCAGCCGCAAATATGTATCTTGCCCGAGGAACTTGTGTGCTTTCTCTGCTTCAGAAATAATATACAAGACTAGCGAGGTTATCCTAAAACTATATCTTGCACGTGTGAGGCCTTCCTTGGATTAAGCAGTTCAGTTCTGGTCACCGTACAACAGAATGGATATAGAATCCCTAGAAAGAATTCAGAGGAGAATGACAAGACTAATCCCGGGCATTAGGAACCTTGCGTACAGAGACAGGTTAAAGCATCTTAATTTACACTCCCTCGAGAGACGTAGAGTGAGGGGCGATATGATAGAGGTGTATAACTGGAAGTCGGGGCTAAACAAAGGGGACATCACAAAGGTACTCAAACTATCCAGCCAGGAGCGAACTCATAACAATGGTTTTAAATTAGACAAATATTGATTTAGGCGCGAAATAGGTAAACATTGGTTTGGAAATATAGTGGATGAGTGGAACAAGTTACCAAACATCATCATTAACTCGAATACGCTGGATAGCTTCAAACATAGGTTGGATGGATTATGAGCGATAGGGGTTGGGTGTAAATGGGACTGCCCAGTATGGACCAACAAGCCCCTTGCAGTTTCCTCCATTCTTATGTTCTTGTGTATACTGAGTAGCATACTGTATAAGAAAATAGGTTCATTTGAATATTCACCACCCCTGCTTCTTTCACCTTAAGATTAACTTCCCTTACGCTAACCTAACCTAACCTCACCCCCCCCCCCTCAATAGCGTTAGGGTGGTTAATCTTTAGGTGAAATAAGCTGGGGTTGAGACTCTAGAGGTGATTTAAACTTATATTAGACGAAAACACCATTAAAATAAATCACTTAAATGAAGAACGTGAAAGTCTCCTCCCTGTACACAGATCCATCTCCGTGTACTGTAGAACCCAACATGTCAGTTATTAATGGAGACTTGAGCACCAACCTCAGAGATCGAGAAAATTAAGTAAGCGAGAAGAGAAAGAAATAGAAGGAAAAGAAAAGAGAAGAGAAAGAAAACAGCAGAAAGAGAAAACAGCAGAAAGAGAAAACAGCAGAATGTAGACAAAAGATGGAAGCAAACCCGGTAGTGAGGGGCAGCTGGGCACGTGTCTCCCCCCCCCCCTCCTACCCACCCGCCCGCCCCTCCAACATGACCCTGAGAAGGGGATGAAGAAGTAAGAAAAGGGAAAATTATAGAAAACGAAGAAAGAATATGAATAAACGAAAAAGAATGAAAAGGTAAAACATAAGATAGGAAAAAAATAGAAGAAACTAGATGGATTATGGGATCACCTGAAGAAACTCCACCTCAGCTTATTTCACCTTAGGATTAACCACCGTAACGCTAACTTCACTAACACTGCTAATTTTCAGGTAAAGGAGGAAGAAACATGTCTCCAAGTGCTTACCAGTAATTGTATGGCAATAAAGATTACCTGACACAATAATGACGGTGTACAATTCCAACCAAAAACCAATGACTTTACTACCCCACACTTTCCTTCTGTTAGGTTAGGTTAGGTCTTACTGGGAGTCTATGTATCTTATAATCTCTTGTCTGATCTGTTACTGTAGCTAGGTGTACAATATCCCATCACAATGCCAAGAAAATTATCAATCCATCCATCAAACGTAATGGTAACTGACGTGTAGACTCGGCAATATGGCGTCCAGTGATCACGCGACGTGGGACCTTCCGTGTCACCTCGCTCAGTATATAGGGACTCTAACCTAACCTAACCTAACCTAACCAAACCTAACCTAACCTAATCCGCTTTCACTTAACCTATCCTAACCTCATCTCCCAAATAGCATTAGGGTGGTTATTCTTTAGGTGAGATAAGCTGAGGTGAAGATTCTTTAAGTAATCCAATTTATATAACAGAAAGGAGAAATATGCAGGTAAATATTGATACAGATGGTAAAGTAGAGAAAGCTTCTGGACCTGATCAGTGGTAGTGATTAATCCTTGGTTAATAATGAGTTTATTTCTCCCAACATCACTTCACCATTTATTCATCTTCCTTCATTCCTTATTTTCTTATTTCCTTCCTTTCTTTTATCCATTCTTCGTTTCTTCCTTCCATCTTGAGGGACATCCACAACAGCATCCTCTCATAACACTCCTTCCTTCACCAAACTCCTTCCTTCACCAAACTCCTTCCTTCACCAAACTCCTTCCTTCCCTCTTGTCTTGGTCGACCTCCTCACATCATGTCAGGAGGATCAACTGATAATTTCCTTTTTCTTATCAGTCAGTATTGTAGCGTGTGTGTGTGTGTGTGTCGGAGATAAGACACTTTCTCACACTGATA